AACACCCAAAATCTCCTAGTAAAAAAGAAAAAAGAAAAAAGAAAAAGCATGACAAAAAAAACACAAAATATAAGTGCTGTTTGGTTAACAACCCCTTTTAAAACCGTTTTTTTTTTTTTTTTTCAGGGGGGTTTTTTTTCATTAAATTATATTTACAAAAGTTTTAACAATTCAAATAAAAACTTATTTTGGTAAAATTTTTGATTATAAATCAGTGGTCTCAGTTTATAAATTTGGCCAAAAAAATGAAAACACAAAAATATGTTTTCATTTTGAGTTTTCAAATTTTTTTTTTTACACCAACCACTAGCATTATTTTTGCCCACCATCATTTTTCCACCACCGTCTTCCGCTACCACCACCCAGCACTACTACCACCTTGCCACCACCACTCCCCATCTACTTGCCACCACACCCACCACTCTACCACCAACCACCCACCCCCCAGCACCACCCACATGCCCCCACTCACCACCACCACCACCCCCGCCACCCACCACCACTCAACACCACCTGTCATCCACCCGCACCACCACCCCACCAACTACCATCACGCCGCACCCACCAACCACTAACCATTTCACCGCCCGCCACCACCACCCGCCACCACCACCCGCACCTACTTATCTACCACCACTCACCACCCCATCCACCACCATCCACCACCTACTACCACCAGCCATCCCAACCACCACCACCACCAGCACCTGCCATCACCGCTACCACCACACCATACCACCACCCCATCACCCACCACCCACCCACCTACCACCACCACCCATCACAACCACCACCACACCCCACTCGCTTACCACTACCACACCGCTACTGTCACCCACCACCACCCGCTATCAGCCACCCACCTGCAACCACACCTACCACCTACCACCACCAACCACCACCATTCACCCATCACTACACCCACCACCGTCACCCACCCACTCACTATCACCAGCCACCACCACTGCTACCACCCGCTATCCGCTACCTACCTGCCACCACCACCCGCCACCACCACCCACTCGTCCAACCCACCACCCGCCATCGTCAACCCTCCACCCACCACACTACCACCCGCCACCTACTCGCCACCACCATCTGCCACCCCGACCCACCTTGCCACCACCCACCCGCGCACCACCACCACCCATCGCTACCACCCACCACCCGTCACCGTCACCTACCCACCCACCACCACCACCACCACCACCACCCACCACCACCACCAGCTACCCACCACCTACCGTCACCACTTTCTACCACCGTCTTCCGTCGCCACTTGCCACCACTTGTTATTTCTCACTTTTTTTTATATTTTTAAAATTTTTTAAACATTTTATCAATTACCAAATGCGTTTATAGTTTATGTTTTTCTAAAAATAAATAAAAATTAATTTATAAAACTTTTATAAATATAAATTAAAAACATAAACGTTACCCATTGCACCCTTAATGTTACATTTTTCACCGTTTACAACTTTTATGGGTCTAGCCATGCTCCAACAGCAATGAATAACCTGTAATGAAGTAGAAATTTTGGAATACTAGAATAGAAAATTGAGACAGAATTTCATATCAAACGTCCTTTCACTTCTTCTTTACTCGAAACTGTAGTGGAGAGAGTTTTTAATTTCTTCTTTTCTTTTTAAAGATAATCTAATGAAAATGAGAAGTGGCTTGTAGCCTAGAGGATGGTGTCACAAATTAAGCCGTGGCAAGGGATTATCTTGCGTTTGGAAAAAGAAAAAAAAGAAAAAGAGAGAGAGAGAGAGAAACAATATGTGAAAAACATCACATTCCTTTGCATTTGTATTGATGAATTTGAAATTTTCTTCTCTTTTTTTCTTCTTTCATAAATTCTTACACAAATTCAGTATTCAAACACATTTTAAATTTACATAATTTGAATAAATTGAATTTTTAATTGGATTTTGAGATTCATGTTTGACACAAAATGTGATGTATTTAGGGAGAATTAAGATTAGGTTAGATATTAATGGCAAAAAACATTTAAATTAGAAAGAGGTAATGTAAAAATAAATAAAATGCAAAGAGAAGAGGTGACTTCACCTAAAAATGGAGAAAAGTAGACAAAGAATAAATATAAGGAAAGAGATAAACTCATATGAAAATAGAAAATGATTAAATTTTTAATAAAAATTGACCGATATAAATCTATGTAAGAATATCTATAAAGTGACTCATATGTCACATGTTTTATTTCTTTATATTATATATATATATATATATATATATTTATTATATATATTTAAACAGTTTAATAGGTAATTGATAACTAACGTATGTCCACTATCTCATACGGTAGTTTCATAGAAAGTTACAACTTCCTGATGGTGGAAAATTATAAAGAGTTACACTTGGATATGGGTCAAACCTATTTATATATATGCCTGTGTTTGAACCTATTTATATATATGCCTGTGATCAAACACAGACGTTGTTTGTGAAGAGAATAGGCTCAACCCTTCCACTTTTTTTATATAGTTCTGTAAAAATGTTTTGTGAGTGGTTTTATTTATACATTCAAGATTTGATCAATCAATAACATGGTTCAAAGATTTGAACATCATGGTAGGATATACTTTTCTTTTATTGAATTATTTAAATTCTCACAATCTATAGTTACTTAGTCACAAAATATTATCAATTTTTACAAAATGTACCGACAATACTTGATAGCATATAATATACACATCTAGCACATTTTGAATAGTTATAATATACTTAGTTTTTTTGGTTAAATTAGTTAATAAAGATAAAATAAGTTAAAATAATTAATAAAATAAAATATCATATTCAAATTATAATCATTTTATTTTTTCTTTCACAACTATTAAATCAACTACAAAAAAAAAGCCAACTATCATTCCA